CTCACCTGCAGGGACCCGAATTTTCGGGATCGTTTTGCGCTTGAAGATAACCATGGCGGGGAGCTTGCGCCCGTCCGCGGTGATCCCGAGCATGACAGTCACCCTGTCCTTCTCGTAGCCTGCCTATCTGACGTGCACCGTCTTCTCTCCGCGGTGATGCAGGGTGCGCTCGTGCGGCATCTCCAGGAAAACGGGCGTCTGGTCGGCGTTTATAATGTTCCATGCGTCTATGCCATGCTTGATTATGTTCCTCCTCGTGAACACCCAGAACTTCTCACACTTCTGCTTGCACTCTGCCACGGACGCGGACAAGGCGGGAGAAGGACATTAGTGACGGCGGTGGGTTAAGCATTAGTGTTACATGTCGCCAAGCAAACTATACAAGCACACACACGGAGGGAAGCACAAGATAACTCACCCGATGCCATACGCTGACCCATCTTCGTCTTCACGCGGATGGAGAGGCCCAAACGCCGGCGGAAGCGGAAGGTCCACCTGTTGGACGCCATCCACCTCACATCAGGGTAATGCGCCTTCATGTAACACCGGCTCCAGTGCTTGATGAGACGAATAGGCACGGCCAAGGCACGTCCGCGGAAGTTCAGGAGCCGCTTGTAGGTATGCGCCTCCATGTCGGGATATTTCGCCTTTCTCCCTCCACCACTGAGTCGGCGCCTGGACGGTGCCGCCTTCTTAATCCGATCCGCCGCCCTTATCCACCGGCGGACGCTGACAGGCTGCACCCCGGCGAGACGTGCAGTGGCGCGGACAGAGAGCTTCTCATCGTCCATCCGCGCGAGCCATTCCTGCTTCTCACTCATGGTTCGCGCAGTGCGACGGTGGTTAGTCTTGCGGGCGCTGTGAACTGCTGGAGCACCGTCAACGTTGGAGCGAGGCCCGTTTTCGTTGTGGATTAAGTCATCCGGAAACGTAGGGACCTGGAAATCCCCGACGTCGTCTTCCATGTTCTCGTTCTCGGCATTCGTCTCATTCTCACCGTCCTCAGCGACGTGTTCAGGAAACCCCTCCTCCTCAAGTGGGTCCAAAGGAGGAGTGGTGCGCCAGTCAACGAAGCCCGGGGGAAGCACAGGGGGCGCAGGTGGCGCCGGAGGCGCAGGGGGTGCCGGAGGTGCGGGAGGAGCTGGAGGAGCTGGCGCGGCCGGGCTTGTGATCAGTATGATTGCGGGCTGGCCAGACCCACTTCCTACCTCCATACTGCGAGAACGCCATGGGCTTTCGAAAGCCGACATGGCGAAGAGCTGATACAATTCTAACGACCTATGGTTCACTAAATGGCAGGCGCCATGGCGGGCTATTTAGATGGGTAGGAAGCTAGCCGGGCGGACAAGATCTGAAACAGAGGGAGGGAGGGGATGAAAGCTTGCGTGTACGGTAGAGAAAGGGACGTGAAACTCTAGTGCTTCACGTCCAGTACCCATTCTGCCACAGAGACATGATGGGGTGGTCAAGGGCCACCTGACGTGCCCATCTTAACGGAAACACTGTCGAGAGGATGTGAGGTGCGGGGCAAACGCCGTTCAGTCCGCCCCGTGCTCTGATTTTCGCCGCGTGTCATTCCCGATGATGCGCACGTGGGGCACCAAGCTAAAGATTCTCGCGCGAAAAAATATAAGACCCCCCCCCCCCCCCCCCCCCCCCCCCCCCCCCTACCGAAATTGTACATGGTAAATCCATTAATGTTAATAGACAAATAAGTGTACCCCGGGTCTTAAAAATTTGCAACCGCCATAATGTCCACCCTAGCATTTTTTCCAGCATTTGTAGAGAGTCCCCCGGGTCCTATAGGTGGCACTTTATGGTAGGTGTTCCTTGATGGGATTAATAGTAACTATTTTTTACCTTGGTGATGGGTGTCATATGAAGAAATTAGTGTCCGCCTTTTATGGTATGATGAACAGTTAAAGTAGTAGGTAATGGCCGTGCGCATACAAATTGCTTCCCTAATTTTGACATTCTTTGACAAGAAGGCTTGTGCATTCGTGATTACAGGTTTACTTTGGGTGGCCTTATTCTGCAAATGGAGTAAGGAGTAACGGAGTGGCATTAACAAAAATTTACGCCAGAAAGCACGTTCACAATCGAGTTCCCTGACTCTAGAAACGCATCGACTCGCTAACGAACCTCTGTTGACAGTTGGAGTCATGCTGTATGCCAGTCCAGGTGCGACAAATTAGCAGTCGCAACATGCTGACTGAGGAGTGAACTTCACCTGGGAGGTATCGGGCTGAAATTTTGTATTTCTTGAAAGAAAAGCTGAAATTTCATTACAAAAAATGATTCTGTTTTGTTTGCGCTAGTCGAGTTTAAGCGCCTTTTAAAACCCGACGAACCTGTGATAACACCGAGTTTTTTACGGGAAGCCTAAAAATCCCTAGGAGCAACACTAAACAGTACCCAAGTATTCTGTCCTTATTTGCCCACCTACCACTCTTGCTGCTCTGCGCCATCAGCTTCCACAAACCTTGAAGCAACGCGTTTCCTTGCCCCAAAACTCAACCCCCGCCAAACCCGCCAACACTCTCTTCCGCCCACGCAACACCCCAACAGATGCGCGCGCGCGCACCCTCTTAGCCATCTTCCCCCTTCCCTTGCGCACATTCTGTTTGCGCATTTTGATACTGTACTCATTGACCTCTGGTGCTGCTCCCCCCTCAACCCCCCTGCACAGTGCTTGCTCGTACACGTACACCTGCACTGTACATCCCCATCCCTCTTCCGTTCCCCCCATTCCCCGCTCCCCGCTTTACCACTTCCCCCTTTCCCCTTTTCCCTTACCAAATCCACCCCCCATCACTTTCCTCCCCCTTCCCCTCCCCCTAGCCAGCCAGCCATACCCTTCTGCCGACTCCCACAAACAACCATAGCCATTCCTTCTCGCGTGTTAGCTCTGTGTGGTGTGCTGTGGTCCTCGCTCCGTATTCCCCTCTGAACATCCTCCCTTCAAATTCACATCTCCGACTAGTATCATCTTGTGAACTATCTCAAATCCTTCGCATTTCGTTTACGCTACAATTATTCTGGTCGTGCTTCAGTAGGAAGGTCCTCGTAGCTCGGTTAGTTTCACGATGGCTCGGTTCGTTGCCGTCGTAGCTCTGACTCTCATGCTGTGTCTCACCGTCGTTTCCGCGCGTCCCGACGGAGCGGCGGACCTGACAGCAGCCAAGGAGGCCCTGAGGAAGCAGGGCTCCTTCAAAACCTTCCTCAAGCTACTCAAAGACTCCGGTGCGTGTTCCCCTTGAGAGTTATCAAAAGCAAGGCCCCCTCAAAACTTTCCGCAAGCTGCTAAACGTTTCACGTGCGGTGTTCCCCTCCCCTTCACCAACAACGTCAGCATTCCCCCCCTTCTCTTCCGCACCACCCTTCCCTCCCGCGCAACTCCTCTCCGCAACCACTCCCCGCCCCGTCATTCTAACCCTAAGACTGCCGGCACCACTTCCTGTAGCTAGTTTACAAGCTCGTGCCATACGCCGCTTCCCCCCATTATGGCCGAACGGATTTATTTTGTTTTCTTTCCTCCCTTGCCACCGTCAGCTTTCCGCGGTTTCGTATCATTAGTTCCTCCTGGTGTGACCATACTTCTCCGTGTTTTGATGCGCCTCAAAAGTGGTTTCGTATCATTAGTTCCTCCTGGTGTGGTCATGTTTCTCCGTGTTACTAACTGATGTATTCCCCACCCTTTCCATTTTCCCCTTCCTCCACCGTCCACCCCCGCTTCTTCCCCTTCCCCCCTCCTTCCCCCCCCCCCCCCCCCCCCCACCCCCCCCCCCCCCCCCCCCCCCGGCCCCCCTCTCTTTTCCCAACAGGCTTCGAGTCGATCCTCGCGCATTACGTGCAGACCCAGCCCGTGACGCTTCTGCTTTTGAGTCGTCTCAACTCGTTTTCCCTCGTTCCCCCCTTCCCTTGTTCCTTCCTGGTTTTCTTCCCCCTTTCCCTTGTTCCCCGCAACAGGCTTCGAGTCTATCCTCGCGCGATACGTGCAGACCCAGCCGGTGACTCTTCTCGTCCCCACCGATCGCGCGTTCGCAACCCTCCCGCTGCGCGTCAAGTCGCAGCTCTCCGGTTCGAAGCTCATCAAGCTCCTCGAATACCACATGATCCTGCAGAAGCTTCCCGTCGGTTTCCTCCGCCGCGCGCAGCCCGGAGCGCGCTTCCGCACGGTCTACGGCGTGCAACTCGTGAAGCAGAAGTCGGCTCTTAAGAACACGGTGATCTTCTCCCCGCCCGGCGCGAACGACGCGACGCAGATGGCGGTGGTTACCTGGGGAGACATCGCCGCGGCGAAGCTGATTCTGCTGTGCGTTCACGGCACTAACGGCGTGCTGCTGCCTCCTAACGTCTTCTTCTAAGCCGCCCTTATGCCCGAGGGGTGGTTAGGTTCGCTCAGGACGCGACCCGGCCACCCTCCCCTCCCCCCCTCCCTCGTCTTCTTCCCGCTTGTTCTTTATCTTAGGATTTCCCTACTTCCTTCATAGCGTTTTCCGGTATCTGTTTTTTTTTTCGTTGATGTTTCTCCCTAATCGTGGCTCTGGCGCCGCCATTCCCCTTCATTATTACACTCAGTATTGTATACTGGTATGTTGCCTTTTATACAGTACCACTGGATGTAAGAACTTGCAACACTAGTAAGCAAAATTTTGATTCTCTTGAAGGCAGGCAGGCAGCGGCTTTTTGCAGCATTGCTGCAGCTGCTGGTGTAACGTACCAGGTGCCTTAAGAAACAAAACTATTCTACTTGCCACCATTCAGGTTGCTGGCACCCGTCGAATGCCAGGCTGGGAAGCAGCCGACTGAATCAGCAGTGCAGTGCAGTGCTGTAGCATACGGACGGAGTAAGTGGGCGGCACTTTTTGTCATTTTGCCGGCACTCCCCCAACAAGACCATCTGAAGCCAGGCTGGGCGGCAGCGGCTTGCCGCTGCGGTGCTGTAACCGCTGGTGTAGCGTGTCAAGTAACTGGGCGGCACTTTCCCCCTCTCCCACTCATGTTGCCGGCACCCCCCCAACAAGACCATCTGAAGCCAGGCTGGGCGGCAGCGGCTTGCCGCTGCGGTGCTGTAACCGCTGGTGTAGCGTGTCGAGTAACTGGGCGGCAAACTCGGCGTCGACGCAGCCAATCAGAGTGGGGTCCTCTGCTGCTGTGACGTAGGTCGCTGTGACTGCTCCCTCCACCACCGATAGCACCACACCCGCCTGCAGAGGTGCATATAAGAAGGTGGAATGCAAATGAGAAGGCAGGAAGAGAGGAAGGGAGTTGAGGAAGAAATCAGGGTGAGATCCCCTGCTTGCCGTTGCGGTGCTGTAACCGCTGGTGTAACATGTCCACGCAGCCAATCAGAGTGGGGTCCTCTGCTACTGTGACGTAGGTCGCTGTGACTGCTCCCTCCACCACTGACAACACCCCACCCGCCTGTAGGAATGCATAGAGATGGGGTATTGGTGGGTGGGGGAAGGAAGGGTAGAGATCAGAGTGGGGCGCCTCTGCTACTGTGACGTAGGTCGCTGTGACTGCCCCCTCCACCACCGATAGCACCACACCCGCCTGTAGCAATGCACATGAGGAAACGGAAAGTGAACAAATGAGGAACACTGAGTGTGATTGTTTTGCATGTCGGTGGAGGGCAGAGGGAAGGAAGATATTCAAGAGGGTTTCCCTGCTGCTGTAACGTAGGTCGCTTTGACTGCCCCCTCCACCACCGATAGCACCACACCCGCCTGTAGCAATGCACATGAGAAGACGGAAAGGGAACGAATGAGGAACACTGAGTGTGATTGTTTTGCATGTCGGTGGAGGGCAGAGGGAAGGAAGATATTCAAGAGGGTTTCCCTGCTGCTGTAACGTAGGTCGCTTTGACTGCTTCCTCCACCACCGATAGCACCACTCCTGCCTGTGCATTGAGACACAAGCTGGTTTTTGAGAATTCTCAAAAACCAGGCGGAAAAGGAGTCTCCTGCCAAGTCTTTGAGACGAATTCAGTGGGCTCAAAAGAAGACGAAAGGAAACAGATGTGGCGCAAAGAAACAAACATTCACCTTCAAACCAGCACTCACCATTGCTGCTCCTGTCACAATCACTGCTCCAATCACCATCACAACTGCACTCAACATCACTCAACCACCTCCTCCAACCAAACCAGCACTCACCATTGCTGCTCCTGTCACGATCACTGCTCCAACCACCACCACCAACTCTTGCGCCACCAACCAACCCCACACGCCGCTGCTGTCCCTGCCACCATCGCCGCCAGCATCACCACTATCACCACCGCACTCAGCCTCACTCAATTACCTCCTCCAACAAAACCAGCACTCCCACCACGCACCATTGCTGCTCCTGTGACGATCCCCATCGCTCCAACCACCACCACCAGCTCTTGAGCCACGAACCATCCCCACACGCCCAGAGTTACACCCACACAGATAGAACCACTCACCACCACACTCCACCTCCAAGTAAACCAGCACCCACCATTGCTGCTCCTGTGACGATCCCCATCGCTCCAATCACCACCACCAGCTCTTGAGCCACGAACCATCCCCACACGCCCGCTGCCGTCCCTGCCACCATCGCCGCCAGCATCACAGCCATCAGCAGCACTGCTCCTGAGAGGTCGTATGCTATCACTGCCTCCACGCCTGTCGACTGAAACAGCTCCCATGCATCGACGGATGACCGGTTGAAACTCCTCCCATACATTGCCAGCTGAGGGGCGGAGGGAATGGAGGGCGGGCAGGAAGGGGGTGCAGGGGGGGGGGGAAGAGAATGTGGCGTTAACAGCAGCAAAAGCAGCAGGGGCAGCGGCAGCAGCAGCAGCAGCAGCAGCAGCAGCAGCAGCAGCAGCAGCAGCAGCAGCAGCAGCAGCAGCAGCAGCAGCAGCAGCAGCAGCAGCAGCAGCAGCAGCAGCAGCAGCAGCAGCAGCAGCAGCAGCAGCAGCAGCAGCAGCAGCAGCAGCAGCAGCAGCAGCAGCAGCAGCAGCAGCAGCAGCAGCAGCAGCAGCAGCAGCAGCAGCAGCAGCAGCAGCAGCAGCAGCAGCAGCAGCAGCAGCAGCAGCAGCAGCAGCAGCAGCAGCAGCAGCAGCAGCAGCAGCAGCAGCAGCAGCAGCAGCAGCAGCAGCAGCAGCAGCAGCAGCAGCAGCAGCAGCAGCAGCAGCAGCAGCAGCAGCAGCAGCAGCAGCAGCAGCAGCAGCAGCAGCAGCAGCAGCAGCAGCAGCAGCAGCAGCAGCAGCAGCAGCAGCAGCAGCAGCAGCAGCAGCAGCAGCAGCAGCAGCAGCAGCAGCAGCAGCAGCAGCAGCAGCAGCAGCAGCAGCAGCAGCAGCAGCAGCAGCAGCAGCAGCAGCATCACGGCGATAAGCAGCACGGCTCCTGATAGGTTGTATGCTATGAATGCCTCCACGCCTGTGGATTGGAACAGCTCCCATGCATCGACTGAGGAGCGATTGAAACTCCTCCCATACATGGCAAGATGGAGGGGGGAGGGGAGGAGGCAGGCAGGGAGGCAAGGAGGGGAATCAGCAGCCGCAGCAGCAGCAGCAGGGGTGGCACCAGCATCACAGCCATCAGCAGCACAGCCCCTGAGAGGTAGTACGCTATCACTGCCTCCACACCTGTCGACTGGAACAGCTCCCATGCCTCGACCGACGAGCGGTTGAAACTCATCCCATAAATGAGGCGCCCAAAAATTGCGGCGCCCAAAAAATGAGCCATTGAAGCTGTTGCTGTGGATTGACAAATGGAGGAGGGAGGGCAAGTTGAAGGCGGTCGGCATTCTCACCGTGACAAAGCCGACCGCATTAATGGCACGGGTGAGAGCTTCGATGCAGTTGAATGCGAGGTTGCATTGGCTTGTACTGATTTTTGTTCTGAGCGTCCGGGTAAGAGCTTTCCAACTCACCGTGACAAAGCCGAAAGCATTGAAGGCCCGCGTGAGAGCCTCGATGAAGTTGAATGCGAGGTTGATGATAAAGAAGAAGCACTCGTTGGCTATGCACCACGCTCGCACGCCCCGGATCTAGAGTGGTACGAAGGGGTGAGAGGAAGGTAGGCAGAGCAGGTGGAGAGGGTGGGGTTGATGATGAAGAGGAAGCACTCGTTGGCTATGCACCATGCCCGCACTCCTCGGATCTAAAGTAGGTGTGGGTATGTGTGCCGGGAGACACTTTTGAGAATTCTCAAATGTGGCGGGAGACATGGGAGGGGAGAGAGCAGAAGGGACAGGCAGACTGGGAGTGGCGAATGCGGGGCTGATGATGCAGAAGAAGCACTCGTTGGCTATGCACCATGCCCGCACGCCCCGGATCTAGAGTGGTACGAAGGGGTGAGAGGCAGGTAGGCAGAGCAGGTGGAGAGGGTGGGGTTGATGATGCAGAAGAAGCACTCGTTGGCTATGCCACCAGGCGCGCACTCCCTGGATCTGATGTTTGTCCGGATATGCGGGAGAGGAGGCACGGGAGGGGAGAGGGGGGAAGGGATGGGAAGAGTGGGTGAAGTTGAGTGGAAGCGGGGTTGATGATGCAGAAGAAGCACTCGTTGGCTATGCCACCAGGCGCGCACTCCGCGGATCTGATGTGTGTGGGTGTGGGTGTGGGTGTGGGTGTGGGTGGCAGGGTGAAAGGGGGAACCAGGAGTTAAGGGCGAGGTGAGGTGAGGGGGTTGATGATGGAGAAGAGGAAGCACTCGTTGGCTATGCACCATGCCCGCACTCCCCGGATCTAGTGCATGGGCGTAGGGCGCAAGGTGCAAGAGGAAGGGAGAGAGAGGCAGGCACAGAGGCAATTGAACGTGAGGTTGATGATGAAGAGGAAGCACTCGTTGCCTATGCACCATGCCCGCACGCCCCGGATCTAGAGTTTGGGTGGCATGGTGTTATGGGTACGAAAGGAGGGAGGGGAGAGGTAGCGACAGTTGGTGTAATGAGGGTGAGTTTGATTTGATGAAGAAAAAGAATTCGTTGGCAATGCACCATGCATGCATGCCCCGAAAAGGTCTTATCCAGAGAGCTTTCAATCCTCACCATCCATCGCATCACGTGAATCGGAGGGCTGAAAAGCGATCCGTAGCAAATGCTCCCAAGGCCAATCAGAGCATGCCACGTGGCCTCCAGAGTGACACGCCCTGGCGCCAACTGGAACTGCTGAGGTGGCACCGCCGCACCTCCCCGTCCCTCCTCCGCTGCGGAAGCCGCCTCGCCCGCTGCTGCTGAGCTGGCGTTCTGCTCTGCTGAGCTGGCGGCGAACCACGCTGACATCACGCCAGCTGTCACCACGTGCACCATGTTGCAGACAACCGCCGCCGTCCAGAATATGCTCATCGCGAAGAGCTGACGTGGCAGAGGGGGATTGGGCGGGCGGGCGGGTGGGTATGTCCAAAGTCAGACCAGGAGGAATAAATAACAGGCAGATTTCACCAGCGCTCCAGCTTAGCTTGGTCCTGCGCCATGATCCCAGACACACCCAACGTCCAGGGGCCTTTCATGTCGGCTCAAAGCCCCCCAACTCCCCTGCTTCCCTCTCTCAAATGGACTCACCAGCAGAATCCACCAGCGCTCCAGCTTAGCTTGGTCCTGCGCCATGATCCCTGACACGCCGAACGTCCACACGCCCTTTAGATTGACGCATCATCCCTCCCCCCCTACCCCCGCTCCTTGCTCCCCGCTCCTTGCTCCCCGCTCCTTGCTCCCCGCTCCTTGCTCCCCGCTCCTTGCTCCCCGCTCCTTGCTCCCCGCTCCCCGCTCTCCGCTCTCCGCTCTTCCACCCCACTAATGCCTCACCAGTAGAATCCACCATCGCTCCAGCTTCGCTTGGTCCTGCGCCATGATCCCTGACACGCCGAACGTCCAGACGCCCTTTGAATCGCCTCACAAGCCCCCTCCCACCCCACTATCTCCCCACCACTCCCCAATCCCTCCCCCAACAATTGAAACTCACCAGCAGAATCCACCATCTCTCCAGCTTCGTTTGGTCCAGTGCCATTATTCCAGACACGCCGAACGTCCACACGGCTTTTGAATCGCCTCACAAGTCCGCTCCCTCCCCACCCTCTCACTTTTGAGTCGACTCAAAAGTCAACAGACACGCCGAACGTCCACACGGCTTTTGAATCGCCTCACAAGTCCGCTCCCTCCCCACCCTCTCACTTTTGAGTCGACTCAAAAGTCAACAGACACGCCGAACGTCCACACGGCTCTTGAATCGCCTCACAAGTCCGCTCCCTCCCCACCCTCTCACCCCACTCCCCCTTTCCTCCCCCCCCTCACAATTATGAAGCCTCACCAGTAGAATCCACCACCGTTCCAGCTTCGCTTGGTCCTGCGCCATGATCCCTGACACTCCGAACGTCCACACGCCCATCCACGTGGCAAGAAGCAGCGCTGCCACGTGGGCGAAGAGGATCAGCAGCGGGAAACCCCTGGCGAATCCCAGAGCTCTACGCACAACCAACATGGTGTACGCAATTCTGGTGGGGATGGGGGGGAGGGGGGGAGGTAAGGGGAGGAGGGGGAGGAAGCGGGGGGGGAGAAGGCGCGGGTGAGGGGAGGGGGCGAAGAGGATCAGCAGCGGGAAGCCCTGGGCCAATCCCAGAGCTCTACGCACAACCAGCAAGGTGTACGCAATTCTGCAAGGGGGGTTTGGAGAGGAGGGGGAGAGGAGGGGAAGGGACAAGGGGGGGGGGGGTACCAGAGAGAAGGAGGGGTCAGGCAGGGAATGAAAGAGGAATCGTGCAAACTGCAACGTGGAATAAACACAAATTACAGTTTATACTCGCTTATACTTTCTCGTTACTAGCGCATAACATACACTCACCTATCCACCACCGCAATGGCGTATACGAATTGCAGCACAGCGCCTATAGCGAAGAAGATCCCCCAAAAGTACTCCTTATCCCAGAAGCAGAACACGCTAACTACGGCTATATACGTCGTCAGCACATGAACTACCACTTTAATCGCCATGTTAGTGTAGAAAAATAGTAGCTGCAGCAGTACCGTCCCCGCTGCTAGCGCCACCGCTGCTGCTACCATCAGAACCGGCCAGAACTCCTTCGTAGAGTGATCAACATTCTTGCTGCTACTGCTACTGCTACTACTGCTGGTGGTGGTGGTATTGCTAGGAGGCGGAATCGTCCACCGCGAACAACCGATCCGAACCGACGCGTATCCCGTGCCGACTAGGCATGCTACGAACAGAACCAGAAAAAGAAGGTCGTGCGGTCTCCGCGGTTTCCGGATCGACGGATCGAAGGACAGCAGCGACCGGCCGGCACGGAGGCCACTAGAAACGCGACTCGACGGGTGGGCGGAGTCTAGGGAATGGTGACTAAAAGGAGATGAAGATTCCCGGGCGGAAAAACCATGCGCGGAGGAAAACGAGTCTCGCGGGGAGAAAAACGTGTCCCCCGCAGCGTCGGAAGGGGGAGTGGCGGAGGGGGAAGCATCAGGGCGAGCTAGCGGTGGAACGGCCGCGGGGCCGCCGCCGCGCGTGGCAGGCGCGAAGGCGGACGGCGGAAGCGGGGAGATGGCGGAAGTGGAGGGGCGTTGCGGCGGCGCGATAACGATCACGGTGGGCGTTGCGCCTGGCGCGGTGGCGAGCGGAGCGGCGGCGGCGGCGGCGGCTGCGGCGTCGAGGCGCGACATGTGAGAGTTACCACCAGATGCGACCCCATATCTAACCCCTGCGGCTTGAGACGTGGCTCCAGACGCGGCTCGAGATGTCGGTGCGGGTACCGCCCCTCCAGGAACCGCAGGCGCGGCTGCTGATGGGACTGCTGACGGTGTGGATGACACGTAAGCGGCGGAGGGCGACGAGGACACGTTGCTGGCGGTTTGCTGAGAGCGTGACGTGGCGGATGACGACGAGTCTGACGTGGAGAATAAGTCGGTTAGACGCCAACCCATGGCGGGAATTAGATCGAGAAACTAGTGGAATTTAGTCAGAAATCGTGGTCGAGGAGAAATAAGGGTGCTTGCACTAAGTATAACCCGATTCCCGCCGAATGCGCATTGTACTAAGAAATAAGGGCTGGTGGTTTCTGTCTGTTAATAAAAGTAGCCTCAACATCGACCTATAGCCAGACTGCTTACTATCTACGTCTCGCAAAGGCCACCTAAAGACGTCTATATTCGGCTACTCCCGACGACGCGACGAGAAGCCTCACGATCAATCTATCGCCAAATCGCGACTACCACCTATGGATTGACGCGGAACGAGGCGTCTCGGGACTCAATGACTAGCCGCGAGACAGCTACCAACAAACAAATGGGTGAATCCATACGGCCATGTTAGCGACACGTGTATCTAATCGCGATTCGAGCCGCGCCGCTCCGCGGGTTGATCTCGTGATGGTGGCTGTGCAGTGAGGTGGAGTTAGCAACACAACCAAGGCGTGGACTAAGGAGTAGTCGCGATGCAAGGACCAGAAACAGAGAAACAATGAGCAGCCACTAAAGCGTGTCTGGTGAGTGTTGCTCTTAAAATAGTGCCTCGTGTCGATCTCTTCTTTCCTGTCAACTTATCACGGTTATGTTCGGTAAGCTACGGTCAAATGAGATTTCAATGACAACCATATGGTACCCATTGTAAATCAGGCGAACCGGACTAAACGATCTGCAGACGAACTCGTGTAGGCCACAGGCTGGCCTTCTCTAGCAGTCGTGCTGTGCTGTGCAGCCGTCAAACATTCAAGCACCTGTGTGCTGTAGATTATCGAGGCCGACAGATCTGATGGTAAAGATTGATCCGCTGCGTGCTGCAGTCGGGTTCGATTTCGTTCGAATCAGGCAGACTGGTTGACGCTTGGTTCGAACAGATTTTGGTACCAAGCCAGCAAGAACCGTTCTGTAACGTACAGAAACGCACATTATCGTATTTGAACAAAGAAGTTTGGTTGGCTGTCATAGTTTTGGACGGCTGAAATGGAGTTCCATTCCGTTCCGTACCTGATTCCCCCCTCAACTTGGAGGAAGAGCACACGAAAGTGTTCCCTATCATGGGTGACGTGTTCATGCATGCGAAACTGGAAAAGGTTATCCAATCACAGTCGGAATTTCCCGCTGGAAACCAATGTGAACAGACTGGCGTTACCTCAACCACGCCGTGATGATGTCATCATATGCTAGTGTATCAGATGCTTCGATAAACGTGGTTGAAGTGATTAAACATGCATACATGAGTAGTTCGTCCTGCCAAGGTTTCCGCAACCTACTTGGGTGTAAATTCATAAACCTTCATTTGGACAACCCGAACCCCCCTTCCCAGTCTGTCCCGCCTTCTAGCCACAGAAAGCATCGCGGGACGCTTCCCTAAAACTAGTCCTACACATCTTCCTTGGCGACTCTCTTCGTTTCAGCCTACAGCAAGCAGCCTCGCCGTAGAAAATCAGCGGACCCGATTCGCCTGTTTAACCGTTATTTCCCCGTTTTTGTACTCCCCGGATCGTTGTTGACGCATGGCGCGGAGCCGCAAGTCGCGGAAGGGGAAGAAGGAGTGGCGGCGGAACATCAGCACGGCGGACCACGACAAGTTCCTCGAGGAGAAGGGCCGCGACGAGCGCAGCGGCGGCGCGCTTGACGCCGTTCCCAGCGAAAACATCTTCTTCGTCGATAAGTCCAAAGGTAGTCCACGCATCTAGTCTAACTTTTAGAAAAAATAGGTGCCTCATAGTTACACCCGATGCCATTTCAGCGAAAACATCTTCTTCGTCGATAAGTCTAAAGGTATGGTGCTCGACCCCTCATCTCAACCACATCTTTTCCGCGCAATGTCCCGCCACTACCCTCGCCCACTCATCCCTCCCCCGCCACCCCTTTCTCGCGCTCTCCCCCGCTCCCTCTTTTCTTCGCCAGTTGCGCCTAAGCTGCGCGAGGTGGACAAATTGCGCGCGGATGAGTCGCATGTGGACGTTAAGCTAAAATGTATTTTGCCGCTTTCCACCCCTCCAAACCCCTTTGTCTCCTCACCTTCCCTTCCCCCTCCCCCGTCCAGTTGCGCCCAAGCTGCGCAAGGTGGACAAATGGCGCGCGCACGAGTCGCATGTGGACGTTAAGCTGAAATGTATTTTGCCGCTTTCCACCCCTCCAAACCCCTTTGTCTCCTCACCTTCCCTTCCCCCTACCCCCGTCCAGTTGCGCCCAAGCTGCGCAAGGTGGACAAGTGGCGCGCGCGCGAGTCACACGCTGACGCCATCCTTAAACGCAGCTCGCTCGTTCCGCCGCTCGTTCCCGAACCCTCCCCGGCGCGCGTCAAAAGCAGCGTTAAACCCTCCGAAAAACTCGCTGATAAACCCTCGGATAAACCCGCAAATGCATCTGCGGATAAGCCCGCGGATAGCGCTGGGGTTGCGCTGGCGCCCGCAGAAAGAGGGGGAGGGGGAGGGGGAGGGGCAGAGGAGAGTGGCGACGGCGGCGGAGGGGAAATCGTTGCAGCAGCAAGTGGGGAAGGGGCTATGGCTATCGTTCAGAGTGCCGGCACGAGTTCTGGCGGGAAAGAAATTGTTGCGGCGGATTCAGGGGTTGCAGGAGGAAAGAGGCGCGCCAAGAAGGTGCGAGAAGCAGGGTTTCGGGTTTTGCGTTTTGTGGTGATTAGGGTTCGCGCGATTCAAGATTTAAGTTTGTGTATGTAGGCAGGTTTAGAGATTTTCTTCAACGCTCGGATTTAAGGAAGTTTCGGGTTTTCTTCTTACTGAGTTGTGGGGTCGGGGTTGTGGGTTTTTGCAGGCAAGGAAGAACTCTCAGAAGCCACTTTTCGATCTGTGGGCGGATGAAGGTGAGAGGGAGGGGTGTGACGATGGGGAGTTGGGTGGGGTGAGGGAGGGAGGTGGATGCTGGGCGGGCAAGGCGGCCTTGGGGTTTTGGAGGCAGGAGAGGGGAATAATGGGATGATGGTGGTTGGATTAGGGGAGGAAGGAAGGGGAGGGGGATAATGGGATGGTGGTGGTTGGATTAGGGGAGGAAGGAAGGGGAGGGGGATAATGGGATGGTGGTGGTTGGATTAGGGGAGGAAGGAAGGGGAGGGGGATAATGGGATGGTGGTGGTTGGATTAGGGGAGGAAGGAAGGGGAGGGGGATTATGGGGTGGTGGTGGAGGGGTGAGGGGAGGAAGGGGAGGGGGATTATGGGGTGGTGGTGGAGGGGTGAGGGGAGGAAGGGGAGGGGGATTATGGGGTGGTGGTGGAGGGGTGAGGGGAGGAAGGGTAGGGGGATTATGGGGTGGTGGTGGAGGGGTGAGGGGAGGAAGGGGAGGGGTATTATGGGGTGGTGGTGGAGGGGTGAGGGGAGGAAGGGGAGGGGGATTATGGGGTGGTGGTGGAGGGGTGAGGGGAGGAAGGGGAGGGGGATTATGGGGTGGTGGTGGAGGGGTGAGGGGAGGAATGGGAGGGGGGTTTGGCAAGGCGGTTATAGGAGGGTTTACCAGACGAAGTAGATGAGGAAGAGAGGCTTGAGTGAGGAAGGTTAGCGAGACAAAAGCGCGATGGTGGGAAAGAGATAATGGCAAGGCGGGTACAGGAGGGTTTACCAGACGAAATAGATGAGGAAGAGGGGCTTGAGTGAGGAAGGTTAGGGAGACAGTAGGGCGATGGTGGGAAGCGGGGATGATGGTGAGGGGATGATGGGGAGGGGATGATGGGGAGGGGTGAGAATGGGGTTGAGGAAGGGAGGCAGATTATGGGTTGACAATGCAAGATTGCTTCGCGTGCATGCGTGTGGTTATTGTATATGCGCGCTAGTTTTGAGGCGCCTCTAAACAAGATTGTTTCGCGTGCATGTGTGTGATTAATGTGTATGTGCGCTCATGTGGCAACACATTATAGGTTGACAAAACTGAAGTCGCTTTTGAGATTCCACAAAAGGGTTGGTTGGCACCTCTATTGATGTGATGTGACAAAACGCCAAGTGTGTGTGTGTGTGTGTGTGTGTGTGTGTGTGTGTGTGTGTGTGTGAGCGTGCGTGCGTGCGTGCGTGCGTGTGTGTATGTGTGTGTGTGTGTGTGTGTGTGTGTGTGTGTGTGTGTGTGTGTGTGTGTAGCATGTGTGTTTGTTTATGCACCTTCGCATGTCTAACCGCCTGTTTATCGCGCACCATTCGTATTCGTATTGTGTAACAGATCTAGCTGGCAACCGCCGTGGTGTTCGCGCTACGGACAAGGCAACACCAGGGGGAGGAGGGGAGGTGGAAGAGCGAGTGAGGAGGAGAGGCGATGGGAAGATGATAGGAGGCAAGGAGGAGAGGAACAAGCCAGGGTCTGCAATCCCAGCAGTCGAGATCGACGCCCCTGGGTGCTCCTTCAATCCTTCGATCGAAGAGCATCAGGTATTTATACATGTCACCCGGCTTCCAGTCAGTGGTTGCTGAGGAACAAGCCAGGGTCTGCGATTCACGAATGTGAGGTAGGATCAAAGCCTTGTAAAAAACCAGGCCACACCCCTCCCCCTCCACAAAACTGAGGAACAAGCCAGGGTCTGCGATTCCTGCAATTCCTGCGATTCCTGCAGTCGAGATCGACACCCCTGGGTGCTCCTTCAACCCGTCTATCGAAGAGCATCAGGTGGGTTTCAGCGCTCTTAACTGGACAGCACCAGTGTTTGCCTGCTGAGGCATTCCAAGGGTCTGCCTTTCCTGCAGTCGAGATTGACGCCCCTGGCTGCTAGCTACCAGGCAGCACTGGCGCTCACACCCAGCTAGCTCCTTGGTTCTACTCGCCCCCTGTCCTTTATCCTCGCCCCCTGTCCTTTATCCTCGCCCCCTGTCCTTTATCCTCGCCCCCTGTCCTTTATCTTTTGCTTCCTCAGGATGCCATCGCAGTGGCAGTGGCGGAGGAGCTTAAAGAGAGCTACCAGGCAGCGCTGGCGCCCACACTGCCCCCTTCCATTCCACGTTTCATGGTCCTTGTTCTTCTCCTCTCAGGATGCCATTGCAGTGGCAGTGGCGGAGGAATTAGAGAGCTACCAGGCAGCACTGGCGCCCACACTGCTTCCCTACATTCCACCTTTGCCCTTGTTCCCCCCGTTTTTATTCCCCTCAGGATGCCATCGCAGTGGCAGTGGCGGAGGAATTAAAGGAGAGCTACCAGGCAGCACTGGCGCCCACACCGCCGCAGCTGATGGTGTCGCGGGCAGAGGAGGAGGAAGCACGGATGCAGGAGGCAGCGGTGAGAATGGGTGGTGTGGAATGTGGTGGGTTTGATTGCGGTGGAGTGAGGTACAGTGCAGTGGGTGTGGTATGGTGTGGTGTGGTGTGGTGTGGTGTGGTGTGGTGTGGTGTGGTGTGGTGTGGTGTGGTGTGGTGTGGTGTGGTGTCGGTAGTGCTCGCCCCCACACCGTCGCAGCTGATGGTGTCACGAGCAGAGGAGGAGGAAGCACGGATGCAGGAGGCAGCGGTGAGTTTAAGGAGGTGGAGTGCGGTGGAGTGAGGTACAGTGCTATGGGTGTGGGTATTGTATGGGAAACACCAGGTAGTTCTTCTGGCACCCACACCACCCCAGAATGGGTTAGGGTGGCACGCGTTGAGGTTGAGTGCGGTGGAACAAGATACGGTGCAGTGGGTGTGTGGTTATTGTAGGCATTGGGACGAAAGTGGGGAAGAGGGGAGGGAGGGAAAAAATATTAATGCTCTGCTGCTGCATATATGCCTCCCCTCCCTCTCCTTTCCCCTTGCCTCCCCTTCCAAGTCACTTTGATATGCTGCTTCTTGCCTCTCTGCCTCCCCTCTCTCTCTCCTTCGCCCCTTCCCCTCCTTCCCTTCTCTTTCTCTTTCTCTTCTGTTGCTTCTTGCCTCTCTGCCTCCCTCCCCTCCCTCTACTTTTCCCTTGCATCTCCTTCCGAGGTGACTTATGAGTTAACTCAGAATCACTTTGATTCGTTGTTGCCTGCCTCTGTGCCCCGTCCCTCTCCGTTCCCCTTGCCTCCCCCTCCGAGTCACTTTGATATGCTGCTTCTTGCCTCTCTGCCTTCCCTCTCTCTCCTTCGCCCCTTCCCCTCCTTCCCTTCTCTTTCTCCTTCTCGTATGTTCCGTGCCATCAGGATTTCTTCCTGACTCAAGGAGAGGAAGATGAAGAGGAGGAGGAGGAGGAAGAGGAGGATGAGGATGGCAACACTGCTGCTGTCACCAAGTAAGCAGCCTTATTCTCCCTTCCAAGTTCTCACCTTCTTTCTATTTTACATCGTCTCCCTTTCTTTTTGGTTTGTCTGTACTACACTTGAAGTATTCATCAGTCCCTCATAACCTTCTTGTCCCTAACTCTGTTTGCGATTTCTTTGACACATGCATCATCTAAGTGCTTCTTTTTTCCTTTTCTTCCCCTTTCTCACACTGTCTTCTCTTTTCCTTTTCTTTTCCCCCAACCAGACACAGAGTGTCCAAGCTGTGTTTTGAATCGACTCAAAACACGGTCCCATTTCTCGCACTGTCTTCTCTTTTCCCCCAACCAGACACAGAGTGCCCAAGCGCCTGACTCGAGCCGATCTGAATCGGCGCATGCGGCACCGACTGGTTTAAGCACAAGTGAAGAAACGGTGAAGGCTGGATGGAGAGAGGATTGACCCGTCCCCTCTTGCCTTTCTCTCCTCCCCACCACCACCAGCCATAGGGTGCCCAAGCGCCTGACTCAAGCCAATCTGAATCGGCGCATGCGGCACCGACTGGTGTAAGCAGAGGTGGAGAAGCGGTGAAGGCAGAACTAGCTGGCAAAGCGGAGGAGGGTGGATGGAGAGAGGAGGTTCGACCCTCCCCCTCCCATTCTCTTTCGCCCCGTGTCCCCTCCCTCTTCCCCACCACCACCAGACACAGAGTGCCCAAACGCCTCACCAGAGCCGATCTGAATCGGCGCATGCGGCACAAATTGGTGGAAGCAGAACTGACGAGGAGGAGGAAACTGAATCCGATGGTTAACCCATTTCCTCTTGCCTTCCTTCCCCGCCTCACCACCACCAGGCACAGAGTGCCAAAGCGTCTCACCAGGGCGGATCTGAACCGGCGCATGCGGCACAAATTGGTGGAAGCAGAACTGGCAAAGCGGAGGAAACTGAAGGCGATGCGGAAGGACCTAGACCGGTTGAAGGATTTGCAGAGGGAGCTGGAGGAGGAGAGGGAGGAGGCGGAGAAGAGGAGGGTGAGGAGGGAGATTGCACGGGTGGAACTGAGGATGAAGCGAGCACCCAGGCTGGGGAGACATAAGTAAGTGCGTTGACTGCTTTGACTTCTTTGACCTGACCCTGTTGATTCAATTAGAAAAGGCGTGTGAGGAGGGAGATTGCACGATTGGATCCGAGGATGAAGAGGCCTCTGGGACTGGGGAGATGCGTTGACTTGCTTGACTGCATTGACCTTGCTAGAAGAGGCGCGTTAGGAGGGAGATTGCACGGGTGGAACTGAGGATGAAGCGAGCTCCGCGATTGGGACGACACAAGTGAGTGGATTGACTTTGTTGACTGAATTGACTGCATTGACCTTACTTGAAGAGGCGTGTGAGGAGGGAGATTGCACAGGTGGAACTGAGGATGAAGAGGGCACCGAGACTGGGACGGCATAAGTGAGTGTAAGGGAAGGGAAGGGAGGGATTGACTTGGTTGACCTGGTTGCCCAAACAAACGTCCTATTTGGTCAGGATGCAAATATCCAATTCAAGCCAGAGCCAATCAGTGTGTTCACATCAAGCGAGGCATTTGCATGAACCGTTTACCCTCATTCCCTCACCACGTACCCGTGCTGTGCTGTGTGTGTGTGTGTGTGTGTGTGTGCGTGTGTGCGTGCCCTTTGGTTCTGACCAGGTTCAAGCCAGAACCAATGAGTGTGCTCACGTCAGATCAAGTCACCGGGTCGCTCAGGCAACTTAAGGTAATATTTTCCTCTCTCTCTTGCCCACCCACGGTGTCGAGTGTGTTTAATTGATTCCTTGCATAGAAGCATGTATGCCTGGTTCTGAGGTGGCTTTTAAGTCAGAAGCCACCTCAGAACAAGCATGTATACATGCTTTCTGAGGTGACTCAAAAGTCACAAGCATGTATGCCTGGTTCTCTCCCCTCCCCAATACTCGCCTCCTGTCTTGATCCTACCTCACGCCTTTTCTTCCCTTCCCCTTCATTCCGCGTGGTGGTCTTCCACATATTTCTTCTTCTTCATTCTTCCCTTCCCCTTCCATTCCGCATATTTCTCCTCCCTCACTTTGCCTCCGCCTCTTCCTTCCCAAGGCTCCCCTCGTGTCTCGACTCCCCATCATGCATGTGCTTACCATGTTCCCTTGTGTGATAAGTCGATTTTTTACTCGACTCAAAAATCGACTTATCACACGCCTCGTGTCTCGATTCCTTATCATGCATTTCCTTTCCATGTTCCCTTCTTCTCTCGTCATCCCCAGGGCTTCTTTTCTTTTGTCCAGGAGTGACTTTTGAGTCGACTCAAAAGTCATCTCGTCATCCCCAGGGCTCCTTCTCTCTCGTCCATGAGTGCTTCAAGAGCGTTCAGAAGAGAGGGCTGATTGAGACTCACGGAGCATTTCCTTCTTGCGTCTCCTCGTGCTGCCATTCCCCCCTGCCAGGGCTCCTTCACTCTCGTTCGTGACCGCTTCAAGAGCTTTCAAAAGCGAGGGCTGATCGAGACTCACGGACCCACCATGTGAGTCTGAGTTTCTTTTCCCCAGCATCTGATAATTTTGTCTTGCACCATCTGAGGGTTTTTTCTTCTTCTTTTTCTTCTTCTTTTTTTTTTTTTTTTTTTTTTTTTTTTTTGCGGGCAAGAAGGGGAGGAATGGTAAGGAATGTGTGCGTTAAGATTCTTGAGGAGAATTTTGAGGTGTTTCAAAAGGAGAGGCACATGCTCAATATGTTTGATGCCATGCACTATTCTTTTTTCAGGTGTGTTTTGGGGCAATCAACTGGAATTAGAAACAGTTATTCACTTTGTTTGATGCGTTACAGCATTCGCTTGTACTCCCTTGATCCCTTTTCTTCCATTCTCCATCCCAACAGCAAGCAGTCCCTAACGAGGAAGAGGAGGGTGGTGGAGCAGGGCAATCGGGGAGCAAGGGAGCGGGAGATGCACGCTGAGATTTCAAGATCTAAAGCTTTCCTTTTCCTTCCCTTCCATCCCCTTGTGCTAACAGCAAGCAGTCTCTATCGAGGAAGCGCAGGGTGGTGGAGCAGGGCAGCCGGGGTGCGAGGGAGCGGGAGATGCATGCTGAAATACAAGCCATGCGGGCGGCAAGGCAGGAGACCAAGAAGGCTGCTGCCAAAGCTGCTGCGGAGTCCAGCAATCTCGAGTTGTAATTGCTTTTCGTGTCGAGCGTTCTGCGGCACACCTTGTAACGGGGATAAAGTGCGCATTTTTAGGAGCCACTAAGTGAGCTGCCAGAGCAGCATATTGATTTGAGTAAATCAGGCAGTGACTAAGGATGTTGTGAAGCTAGAAAGGTTCCCTGATTTTGTAAAGAGGTTGTGTGGTACTGTAGTTAAAGCAGGGAAAGGTGGGTGGAAATCGGAAAGTGGGAACGTGCAAAGAGATATGACCGTTTCATTGTGCGTTTCTGCTTATTGTATTCTGCTGTAGTTACACCCTGTTTCGTTTATCAACCTTTAATACCTTGCGAAGGAAATTTTTTTCTACGCGACTTCCATGCATTATTTACTTGGGGAACTTGGTGCCACTCAATTAGCCCTGCTAATGGGTTGACGAAAACGGGTATCGAATTTCCTCCCAAACTGTTACGAGTGCAATTGAGTGAGCGAACGAGAATTGCACTATCGAAGCAAGAATACAATGAGCGAAGGCATGAGCGAAGAATATATAGCGAAACTACAGTGGTAACGGTAATGGACTGTGGTTGTCGCGCGACGAGCCTGGGACTGAGGTTGGGAAAATGCCGAAGCGTAGGCCCGGAGCGCGGGTTACCCGCCGAGCCGTGAGGTCGGGATGCGATGTGCGAAAATGGCGGGATGATTGTCGATGCGATGATCGCGAGTGGTAACGGTGCTGACTGAGGTGCTACAGTGATGTACGCGTTGAGCGGGGATGCGAAGTAAGGAAAAAGGGATTTTCCTTACACTACCCCCCCTCCTAAGGAGGTCCCTCTTACGAAAGTGCGTGGACGTCTTTGAAGTTTCGGCTGCGCAGATACTCAGTGAGGACGGGGTGGTTTTCAATTCTGTCCAGGGGAACCCAGTTGTCCTCGGTAGGTGTTCGGTCTTTCCAGCGGATCAGGAACTCGATTTTTCGAGCTCCTCGGGGGTTGCGAACTCTGTGACTCAGGATCTTGTCGGGGGTGATGATTGGTTCGGATGGCGGTCGTGTCATGCTGGATGGTCGATGTCGTGGGAGTTGGCCGGCGGACGGTACGTAGGGGCGAAGCAAGCTGACGTGGAACGAGGGGCTGACGTACCAGTCAGCAGGGAGGAGGAGGTGTGCGGTGACGGGTGTAATCATGTGGCTAATTCGGAACGGCCCACAATATCGGGGGCGGAGCTTTGGAGTGACGGGCAGGCGGAGGTTTTGAGTGTCGAGTAAAACGAGGTCGTCGGGTTGATAAGTGACAGGTCTGCGGTGGCGGTCGGCGTTGCGTTTAGCGATGATGTTCGATTTCTTGATTGCTTCTGCTGCCCTGGTCCGTGCTGCTTGCAAAATCTCGATGAATTGTTGTGCACGGGGAACGGGGTTGTCGGGATTTGGGGTCATGGGTACTGTGGGGTCTTGTCCGTAATTCAGGTAAAACGGTGACTGTTGGGTCGTGGCGGATGGCGCGTTGTTGTATGCGAATTCGATGAGTGGCAACTGCTGTTCCCACGTGCTTGGGTCGTCGCACGTGGCCCTAATGAGCTGCTCCATGGTCTGGTTTGTCCGTTCTGTCTGTCCGTCAGTTTCGGGGTGATATGATGAACTGAACTGTAGTCGCGTGCCGAACTGTTGCCACAGGATCCGCCAGAAGTTGCTGGTAAACTTCGTGTCTCTGTCGGTGATCATCGATGCTGGTATCCCGTGCAGTCGAACGACGGTCGAGATGAAGAGGCGGGCTGTTTCCTCGGCTGTGATTGATTTCTTGCAGGCTGCGAAGTGTGCCATTTTCGTCAGTCGATCGACGACGACCAAGATCGCGTCATTCCCACTCGCCCCGGCCGGTAACCCCGTGACAAAGTCCATCGTCACTTGCTGCCAAGCACGCTCTGGGGGTGGGATCGGCTGCAATTGTCCCGCCGGCCGCTTCCTGGTTGACTTCATGATCTGGCAAGTGGGACACGACGCCACGTGTTGTTGCACGTCGGTCAACATTTCGGGCCAGTAATAATACCGCTGCAGCTGCTGCCGTGTTTTTTCTACTCCGAAATGTCTCGAGGTAACTCCGTCATGTGCATCCTGTAACAGTAATTCCCGTAGTAGTGTGTACCCTGGTACCCAGATGCGGTCGGTTCCAGCTTTTACGTAATAGACTCCCTTGGCTGCTGCGAATTGCTGCGAGTTTCCTCCTGTGAAGAATGGGTCTGTTTGATATCCGTGGGTAAATAGTCCTGTCATCACCGGACTGGTCTGGGCGAGTAGTATCGCATGGATCTGGGCAGTGGGGAGGGTCAGTGCGTCGGCGATATTCGAGGCTCCTTTTTTATAGGTGACTGTAATGGAAATTTGACTCGAGGAAATCGAGCCATCGAATCTGTCGTGGGTTGAGATGGGGTTGTGCACGGAGGTACTGTAGGGATCGGTGGTCTGTCCGTACTGTCACGTCTGCGCCGGTCAAGTAGCAGCGCCACACTTTGAATGCGTGCACGATCGCAAGCATTCCGCGGTCGTGTATCGGGTAATTTCGCTCAGGCGGATGCAGTTTGCGTGATTCGTAGGCGATGGGTTGGAGGCTGTTGCCGAAGTCCTGTAGCAGGATGGCTCCGATGGCGATGTCGCTCGCGTCTGTAACAACCTCGAAGGGGCGATGTGGGTCAGCGATGCGTAGGACGGGTGGTGAACAGAGAACAGTTTTCAGGGCAGAGAAGGCAGCATGCTCTTTCTCCCCCCACGTAAAAACAACCCCCTTACACAGTAAATCCGTGAGCGGGGCCGTTAAGCGCGCCATGTCGGGGACGAACCGACGGACGTAATTAACTAACCCTAAAAAACTCTGCAGTTCCGTGATGTTCGTCGGGGGAAGCCACGCTTTGACGGTATCCAACTTCTTAGGGTCGATTTCAACCCCAGCCTCCGAAATAACGTGTCCTAAAAAATCTAGCCTGTCCCGAAAAAACTCGCACTTGGAGCCCTTGGTGAGTAACCGATGGTCTGCGAAAATTTTAAAAACTGCTTCGAGATCGACTAAGTGCTGCTGCTTGTCGCGACTGTAAACGAGGATGTCGTCGAGGTAAACTATTACGCATTTATCTAAAAGGGGCCTAAACACCTCGTTCATGGTCATCTGAAATGTTGCGGGTGCGTTTGTCAGCCCGAATCTGGTGGTAACCCCCCCGTAAGTCTATTTTCGAAAATACCCGTGCTATTCGCAGCTGGTCGATCAGTTCGTCGGCGCGGGGGATGGGGTACCGCGATTTGACTGTTACCCTGTTGAGCGCTCGGTAATCAATGCACATGCGAAATCCTCTGCCTTTTTTTGGTGTGAACAGTATCGGTGCGGCGAACGGTGACGAGCTCGGTCGGATAAACTGCTTCTCTAATAGGTAATCTAACTGCTTCCTTAGTTCGTCGAGCTCGGGCTGTGTCAGTCTGAACTGGCGTTGTACAGTTGGTTGTGCCCCCGGTTCTAACTCGATCCTATGGTCATGTGCCCGCTGAGGTGGCAGCCCTTGTGGTAAGTCATCGGGAAAAATCCCCGAGTACCGTTTCAACAGTTCCTGAAGTTCGGGCGGTACTGCTGCCAACAGTTTCTGGAAATCGCTCGGCTGCTCCTCTTTTCCTACTAATGCTATATCTACTGCGTACACGTCAGCTCCCGCGGCGACAACTCGTTTCATCGTGATGGCGTTGACGTGGACCGTTGAAGACTCGGGCGACTGCCAGCGAGGTAATTGGACCCAGTTACCATTACTTCGCATGGTGCAGCTACCCGTCGTCCAGTCGATTCGTGGGTTATACCGTCGCAGCCAATCACGTCCCAATAAAATGTCGTGCCCATCCAGTGTCGTTGCAAGCATTTCCTGTGTAAATCCGAAGTTTCCCCCGCAGCGGACTTTTACTCGCTCCACCTTTTCCCGTATGGCCAGTGGCGTGCCGTCGACTAAGTGCGCGTCTATCTCAGGTAAGCAACGGTTAAGTGTTAACTGCAGTTTCCGTGCTGTCGCGGTATTAACTAAACTGTGGCTTGCTCCTCCGTCAATAAAAATCTTGACTGCTGCTCCCTGTATTTTCCCGTAGATCAGTACTGGGCAATCCGTCGCTGTACCCTCCTTATTCATCCGAACCCGATCGATGGCGTGAATCGGTACTGTGACTCTGTGAGGGTCGGTGTGGTTGGGCGAGCAGGCAGTCTCGTCAGTAGTTGGCCCAACTTCTACTGACTGCTGGCGTTTCCCTACCTCTGAGACTCCCTCCCCTGCTCTGCTCCGCGGCGTCTCAGCTCCTCTGGGCACTCGCTCTTGCGGTGGCCCGGCCTGTTGCAAGCAAAGCAGCGCCCCTTAAACGGTGCGGCAGCTGCATTCGTCGCAACGGCGTGCACTGTGGCGTGCTCGGTCGGTCCCCGAGGACGATGTCCGTAGTAGGACCCCGGTCTCGGTCGGCGTAGGATGTCGATTTTCTCGGCGAGCGCGAGAATCTCGTTGAAGTTCGAGAGTCCGCGCAACATTATTTCGTGCAAGATATCCGGCTTCAGCCCTCCGACGTAACGGTCTGTTGAACAAGAATGAATGAACTAGCAGTGAAATGAGTACAAGTAGGAAACCCTAGAATTGTGTACCCCCTATAGGCTAACCCACTGTAGCCTAAACAACTACAACATATATATATTATGTTTGACACACCCCCATAGGCGAAGTGGGGGAGAACTAGGGGTCACAAGACCAGTCAAGTAAAGCAAAGCAAAGCAAGCTCAGGGTGGATCACAAAGTCACCACACATTCCGAGC